ATATAAAATAATTTGCTTTTTATTATATATATATATATATAAATGAAAAATTTTAGCAATTTTTAAAGTAATTTTATATATATATATATATATGATAAAAATAATCTTTTCTAAAAATTCTTAAAAGAATTTTTTATACAAATATTGATTCTTGCTTACAAATATATAACTGATATACAGTTTTATATTTTATTATGTATTTTGCAATTAAATATTCTTTTCTCCTTTTTTTTATAGGAGCGATTGGGAAAAGGAATAGTAAAGGTTGGTATATGATTTGCAATGTAATATTAATTTTAGCATATAAATATAATGAACTCCTTTTTATATATAATACTATATTTAAAATATGTATTTAAAATATATATTTTACAAATGTATGAAGCTGAGAATTTTACATTTAGTAATTGCTCTTTTTAATAGAAATTTATATATTATTAACATACAAATTACTAATTTAAAAAAAAATAAATAATATGTTATTCTATTGTGACAGACTATTAGCCATGAAGATTATTCTCAACCAAGTACATCTAAATCCACGATAAAAGAGGAACCAATGGAAACTATGCTAGAAAGTATGTTTCTTATCAAAATCTTTATCATATTTTTTTATCTAGTCATGTCTTGTTTAATTTTTTTTAATTATTAATCTTATTGATAAGTAAGTAATATTAATAGTTTTAATATTAAAGCAATAAATTGGAAAAATTTTTCTATTATTAAGAAAAATGAGAAATATAAATAATTTAAATGAAAAGAATAATAAATTAAGGATTATAATAAACATAATTTAAAAAATATATATATAAATTCAAAATAGACAACAAGTGCATAACAGTCAAGTCAGTTTTTTCATGTTCCAGTAGAACAGGATAAATTGAAGATGACCTAATGTAAGGTTGATATGTTTGTTATAAGAATTTGTTTATTAAATGTTACTTTAAGCACAAAGATCTGACTCGACTCTTGTGTTTTTATTCTCATTTATTTTTAATAATTTAAATCAATGGTCAAAAGACTTTGAAAATATTTTGCATATATATTAATTTATAAAAGGTGGAGATCCACCATCAGCGTTAGTGAAACCAAAGTGTGAACGACATCGTAGGGAAGATATTTTTGTTACTAGACCAAGTACCTTAGTAACTAAAAAAGGTGAGTATAAAATCTTAAATTATATATTAGGTTGTTACATATAATATGTTGCATTTGTTAATTAAAGATATTGATATTGTTTCTATATTGATTTTATAACATCTTAAATATAATTATATAATTTAACTATATAATTGAATCCTTTATTATTGTAGTTGCATTATGCTCATAACATATTTTTCCAAAAGTATAATTTAAAAATATAAAATAAATAATTTGATTTTTCCTTAAAGTTTAAAATAAGTATGAATTTTACTGAAATTTGTATAATTTTCTTATACAAATTTGAATTGGATATGCAACTTAGATATAATTTAATTAATTTAATTACATGCAATATTATAAGAGCTTTTGGAGAAAACATTGTGAAATAACTGTCTGTGTGTTTTGAGCAAACATTAAAGAAAGAAAAATACAATGGTTGGTTTAAAAAATTCCGTTCTGGAAATTTTTCTTAGTAATATATACCACATGATAGACTTAAAAGTTTAAGTGACAACAATATTTTAAGAATTTTATATCTATATTTCGAACTCCTTTTTGACAATCACAATACTTTTAAAAGTGGCTTAATTTACTAAACCATATTTAAGACATTTTTATCAATAAAATGAATTCAGACTATGAATCTTAGTGGAAGATGATTCTCGTTAAACAAAAAAAAACTTGCTAAATGAATAAATATTAATTATTCAATGTGATGCGTCATCTTTTTGCTATTGGCAAAATAAAAAAAATGGATATGAGTTCATTGATCGAAACAAATTGGAAAGGCTAGATAAAGTTTATTATTGATTTGTCATAAAGTCCATTTTTTGATCGGATTTTATTATTTGTGATAAAAATAAATTCTTTATGATAACCATAAGCAATCTTCATAATTACTTGATAAAAATCAGTTCCCTAGTTATAACCGAAAATTATTATTTAATTCACAAAAGATACTGACAATATAGCGAATCTTCAGAATAGAATTTTTGAAACTAGTCTTTCAAAAATGTATTATAAAACTAATTATAAATTATATTAATACTTTCAATTAACGAAAATTTGATATTTTATATATAACAACTTTAATAATGTGTATGCATGTTACAATTTATGTGTGTGTAGAAGAATCAGTAATATTCTATTTCTATAAATTTATAGGAACGTCTGGAAGACCAATAATGCTGCAATCAAATCACTTTCGAATACCCACAGGACCTAATTGGTGTCTTTATAAATATCGAGTTGATTTCGAACCGGAAGAAACTCGTACATTTGTTCGCAAGGGTATGCTTAAACTTCATAAAGAGAAAGTTGGTGCATACATCTTTGATGGCACTGTTTTATATACAAGTTCTCGTTTACCAGATGTAAGTACATCGTAATATATTTCATACTATTGCATAAACAAATAGAATTTGAAGTTAAGCATTTTTATAATATATTTTAGAAAATGGAACTAGTAACAACAAGACAATCTGACAATGTACCTATCAAAATTACTATATGTTTAGTTGGAAGTATGTCGCCGGATGATTGGCATTATATCATTATTTTTAATATAATAATGAGAAAATGCCTTGAGCATTTGAAATTGCAGTTGGTGGGCCGTGACTATTTTGATGCTAAAGATAAAGTTAGTAACAATTTGCATAAGTATTTATATTTTATTTTATTAAATTAAAATTTTAATGTTTGTAATAAACGATTGTGTACAATTATATAGGTTAGTATATATCAATATAAACTGGAATTGTGGCCTGGTTATATCACTACTATTAGACAATACGAGAATGATATTCTAATGTCTGCTGAAATAACGCATAAAGTAATGCGTCAAGAATCACTATTACATATATTGATGGAATGCTTCAGACATGGTTATGATCATAAGGTAAGATATTTTCATTTTTATGTTTTTGTCACTCTCTAGTACTATTTATTAAAAAAAAAAATCAGGATTAAGATTTAATACTAAAGGAGGTAATAAAAATTTATATAAACACATAATCTCTTTCCTCATTTATAAAGCAATATTAGAAAAGAATTTTGTTATATGCATTTTTTACATAATAAGATAAAATAATGTAAAATAAAATATCGAAAATTTTTTTGTATTTTTTAAATTTTATATATTTAATTAATTTTATGAAAACTGCATTCTACAAATTTATTCTGTAAGTTTATTTTGTATAAATAACAATATATATTTTTAGACAGAATTTTGCAACAGAGTAATAGGACTTATGGTACTTACGGATTATAACAATCATACATATCGTATCGAAGATGTAGATTTTGATGCAAGTCCTTCTTCGACATTTCCTATGAAATCTGGTCAACATATATCTTATCAAGAATATTATAAGACCAAGTACCGTATTGATATAACAAATGCCACACAACCAATGTTAGTAACAAGATCAAAACCGAAAGAACGGAATGCATCAAATCAAGGAAATCTTGTTTATTTAGTTCCTGAACTGTGCCGTGCCACAGGTGCATTTTATATCGTAAAAAATAATATATATCTCTCCAATGCACAAGTTTTTTTTTTTTTTTTAATAACAAAGATATAACAACATATCTTATGCTTTACGTATAAATTTTTCTGTATTGATGAATTTTATGCTAATATATATGCTAATAGTTTTTTCTCTTTCTTAGGTTTAACTGATGACATGAGAGAAAATTTTCAGCTTATGAAAGCTTTAGCTACCCATACTTGTATCTCACCTTCATCTCGAATTGATAAATTGATGAGATTTAATAATAGACTTCGTCACGAGCCAAAAGTTGTACAAGAATTTAAAGATTGGGATATGTCGTTAGATAGAAATTTACTTCAATTTCCTGCTCGTGTATTATATGATGAGAAAATTGTCGTTGCTAATAATTATAAAATTAATAGTTTTCGAGGAGATTGGACAAGGAACATGCAAAGGGCGCATTTATTTCATAACAAGGAATTAAGAAACTGGGTGTTAATTGGATCTCAACGAGATAGAGGTGCTGTAGATGTGAGTAATGTGAATTGGAATATACATAAGTATATAACGAATATATAGTATATAACATCAGAATTATATAAATTATGTATATCATTGCATATATATTTATATACATACTCCAAATGCAAAATATTAAAATATTTTTAATCTAAAATTTTGCAGCGATTTCTAAATACGCTATTACAAGTGTCATCTCAAATGTCATTCAGGGTTACTCGCCCGCAAGAAAATTGGTTACGCGAAGATAAGTCAAGCTCGTATACTGAGATGCTTGAATATATTCTTAGCAGAAGTAGTCCAGATTTAATATTCTGCGTAGTGAGCAATAATCGTAGTGATCGTTATGCAGCCATCAAGAAGAAATGTTGTATAGATAGACCTGTACCATCACAGGTTTTTTACAAAAAAATTTAGATGGAAAAGGTACTATGAGTATTGCTACAAAAGTGGCAGTACAAATGATCTGTAAGTTAGGCGGAGCTCCTTGGTCCATTGAAACAGTGTTAAAGGGATTAATGACTATTGGTTTTGATATATGTCATGACACAAATACTAAAGGCAAAAATTTCTGTAAGTATCTCTAAATATTTAGACTATTATTTTGATATTCTAATCACATATTTTTTATATCATTTTAGTTTCTAACTTTTGCATTTTTTTAAAATAATTTAATTACAAGGATATGAAATTTTCTATTTGTATGATTATAGTGTCTATGGTAGCAACTGTTGATCAGAAGCTGACACAATTCTTCAGCTGTATTAGTCAATACCAAAGTAGCGAAGAACTTGGAGAACGGCTCTGTGACAATGTAAACAAGGCTGTGCAGGCTTATCGCAAACATAATAAATCTTTACCTATGCACCTTTTTATTTATCGTGATGGTGTCAGCGAAGGTCAAATTCGGAGTGTTTATGAAAATGAAGTGGAACCGCTGAAAGAGAAACTTGAAAAAATATATTATGGCCCTAATTTCAAATTAATATTCATAATCGTGAATAAAAAAATTAATATTCGACTTTTCGAAAATCGAAATAATCCTCCGATCGGTACAGTTGTTGATGATGTCATAACGGATCCACTTAGATATGATTTCTTTCTCGTATCGCAACAAGTTAGACAAGGTACTGTTTCACCAACATCATACAATGTTATCTATGATAATACTGGATTAGACGCAGAATTGGTACAACAAGTCACGTACAAATTAACTTATCTGTATTATAATTGCACAAGTACTGTTCGTGTGCCTGCGCTTGTCATTATGCACGAAAGTTATCATTCTTAGTGGGACGACATCTTCATAAACCTCCGGATAATCAGCTGCAAAATCAGTTATATTTCTTATAATCCAAACGTTTATTTTTCAAAATTCTATTTTCATATATATTTAAAAATATTTTGATGTGTGTGTATATATATCAAAATATTTTTGATAATACAATTTGTTAACATGTAGCTCCATTAAGTGTCATCTAATTATCAAATTTAAATCTAAGATTCTAAACTTTTCTTTTTGTTAATTGCAATATATACGACTATATGTATTTTTTTTTTTATTTTATTTTAAAAGTTCAATATATATTACATCTATATTTTATATATTACATTTACTTTTAAATGATTAAAGAGGTGGTTAAATGATTTTAATTTTATACTTATTAAAACCTATATGCCAAAAACAAAAAAGTGTTCATAGAATTTATTTAAATAAAGTAGTATTACATCATATTAATGTATTCTTTATAAATTGCGTTTTACTTAATATTCAAATGCTTTAAAATGTAGATCTCTTGTCCAGATTGATTAATTGAATGCATCAGTATTTATAGTCTTAGACTGCAGCTATAGATGTAATTTTTTTATATATATATTTTTGTAATTTTATATTTTATGATTATAAGATGAGAAATTATCAAAAAAATTTTTAATATACTTCTATCTGTGTTCTTCCATATCTTCCAAGGGAGAAATGGAACACTTTAGTTAGAAATACAATTAACAGTATTATATACAATACTTTCAGATAATTAATGTATAACTTTGGAAAGCTTTATTCGAATACCATAACTAGTTGTTACTTGTTGCAAATACATATATCAGTCGTGAAATATTTTTAAAATATGTCATAGTATATACAATTATAACAAAGTTGAGCAATATAAGTTTATTAATGCTAGTCTGTAATCTAAAAAAAATGAGGATTAAATTATTTGTTCTGAATATCCTAAAAATTTTAATTTCAGTTTCAATCAGGAGTTGATTATTTTGGATTATAGAATTTTCAACATTTTTGATTTCATTAACTATTAAGTATTCCTATAATACTTTTGTACTGATGATATAGTTTTGATTGCATAGGATTGTCTATTATAAAATGAATAAGTATTACTTAATTAGCATAGAAAAATATCTTTATTTCTCAAGTCAACTTTATTTCAAGTCAAATCCTTATTTCTGTTTTAATGTGATACAAACATGTGCTCATTTATATACACACATGAATATGTGTATATAAATATATATATGTATATTCTTATATATGATTCATAAAATTGTTCATCATAATTATCATTTAAAGAAGATATAAAGTTATGTAAGCTGCATGTATTTATCAAATAAAAGATCTTATGAAATCGGTAATTAATCAATAATTAGTGATTCCTAGTTTTTACAATTTTTAAAAAATTTAATTGTATCGCTGCTGATGCGTTATGCCTTTTGCGATTCGATTATGTTTAACATGAATATATCTTTTGTTCTCTGAAAGAGTGTATAATATTTAAAAGGTTATATGAAATTAGATTAAAAGATGAAATCAATTAGAAAAAGGACCATGGAACTTGAAGAGTTTGCGAGTCTCCAATTGGATAAACCGTTACCCGATGTGAGAGTATGTAATATCCATCAATGTTTCCATTTCTTATTCACTTATTTTCACTTGTTCATGTGCCTTAACATTAAACATCCTCGCACTATTCAATATCGTGCTTCGTTGACTTTATTTAAATATCCTTATTTAGGATGAAGAGCAATTGCAAAAGCATTCCTTGGATGTTAACTTAGAAACGAGACCTATAGATAGAGCACTCTATATCCTTCAGTAAGTAAATTACATGCTTTGCGTTCTCACATAATTGAATTTATTGACGATATTAAAGTAATTCTTTGGTAATTCAAAAATAAGAGTTTTATATTCGCATAATATATATATTCTTAAATTCTTACTTTCGCGGTTACTGATATCTTTTTTATTGTGCAAATCCAAATCCTGTATAAGTGTTAAAATTATTTGTTGAAAATTTTTAACACTCAATCTTGCACGCGAAAGCAATGTATGTTGTCTCGACGAATCATTTTATTAAACCTTGATCAGAAATGTGTAATTTGCCTTCGATTGCCGAAACAAGGTCGGAATAGTGTTAATTAGATCTCGCAAACATAAATGCAAGGTAGCGGATATTCTCCAACGTAATGTTGTATTTACATGATAATTTATGATGTCCACTTGCCATTAAACTTGCAAATTCGTAAGAAATTATTTCATTTTTCTTAAAATTTATACGAATACTCAATGGTGTATATAATTTTATAAACCTTTATTAAACAGATAGGTTCAAAACGTACATTGTTCATGAACAAAGACGAAAGCTTTCAAGAGATAAAGCATGATTACATCAATAAAAATAACTTGTAATAAGTATTCAGTTTCTAATATCCATTTTTATCAATGATTGATTTTAATCTCAATTTAATTTATTGTTTTTTTTTAATTTTTAAAATGAAAAGAAATGAAAAGTCAGTAAGGAGTAAGTTAAAGAGATCAAAGTCTAATCTAAATTGATATGAAATGGATATAAAAAAATTTATTCTTCATCAAATTCAATTTTATATACATAGATGTTAAATGACAATTCTTAAAACTATAAAAAATAAATTAAACCAAGATTAAAGTTAATTTATTGATAGAAGTACACATAAAAAATTGTCTTCGACAAATTCGAATTTTATATACATAGTTATTAAATGACAATGCAAATTTTCAATATTATGAATAATAAATTAAAACCGAGATCAAAGTTAATCTAATACATTGATATAAAAAATAAATTAATAAATTCGAATTTTACACACATACATACACACACACACACACACACACACACAATAAAATACGAATTTAAATGACAATTATATGCAAGCTTTCAATACTATAAAAGATAAATTAAAATGAGATCAAATAAGTTAATCTGCATTGATAGAAATGGACATAAAAAAAATATGTTCGACAAATTCGAATGTTATATACATATTCAATATTAAGTACTGATTATGCAAATTCTCAAAGTAAATATTCTCCTCCCGCACGTAATAGTTGTAGTTCCCATTGGGAATGGCGCGCGATCTTTTCAATGTCATCGCGTATCCTCAGTGTTTCCGTTTCGAAGAACACTCGATTGATTTGTGCGTAGATTCTTTTACCCAATGCGTCGCACCGACATCCAGCGCGTCGGATCGCAGGATGACGCGATCGTTAAATCATTCTTTGTGTCGCGCACACACGGCACACGGTGCGGTGCGGTGCGGCGCGGCGCGTGTCGCATAGTCGCGTTACGCAATCAGTGCCGCCCTCGGCGTGGCGGCCAGCCCGTGTGCATCAGTGTGCATCCGCGAGTCATGCACGCGATGCGTCACGATTCGGTGTCTTCTCCGTTCGGCCTCCAGTTGGTACGTGGGCCGCGCTCGTGTCGGCTCGGTTCGGCGCGGCGAGTCAGATGTGATCGATAAGCGCGGAAATCGGGATCCTGGCCCCGCTCGCGTTCAGTTGTCATTCGCGTTTTCCGCGCGTAGCGTCGTGTCGCGTCGTATCACGTTGTGCCGCGTGTCATGGGAGTGCGTGCGACACGCGTGCCGTCCGTGTGAGGTGGATCAGCCGTGAAGCGGCCGATCGACCCCGGAGAGCCGCCTGCGACGTCGATGAGTAAAATGCGCCTCGAAAATGTTGCAAGAGGAAGATGAAGCTCCGTACGAGATCGCGTCCGATCCGTGAGTATCCGTGGACTTTGGTGTGTCTGTCTCCTTCCTTCCCTCCCCTGCCGCCGAGAAGAAAATCTCACGGACGCGATCGAAGATCATTCCTAGAGTTCATCCTCTTCACCGGGAGTCAAGTTTGTTACCTTTCTTATCCCTCCCCTTCCCCCGCGCGTTTTCCTAAAAATAGCCGCGCAGTCGTTCAAGGAGCGTGCTGTCCTGTGTCATAATTAAATGCGCTAATTATAGGTCCTTTAAAGACGGCCAAGGAATGGCATGCCACGCGCATGACGTGCGAGCGATGTCAGGATCCCGGGAGCTTCACGAGTTCCTCGAGGATTTAGGTTAACCAAACATGTCGCGGCGATTACAGTTCTAGAGTCTATATTCTAAGACCTAGTTGCACCAGTGTTATTTTGGCTTTAAGCGAGACTTAAAACTTGCAATTTGTTGTACCGAAGCAAAAGTAGTTTGTTTTCTGTTTCCACATTGGACTGCGCTGAAACTTTCTATCTCATTTTTGTCAAATTTTAAATATATATCTTTTATTTTAAGTACAACGAATATATACTAGTTCAACTACAAAAAACAATGAAACCTGAAGCACTTTAATTTGCACTAATCCTAATAATGTACATTTTTATCAATGTTAATTAATTTTAATCTCGGTTTAATTTACTTTTTATCTTAGTTTAATTCTAAGAATTAGAAAAAAATAAAGAATAATATTAATTTACATGGTAGAAATGAACATTAGAGGTTTGTTTTTTTTTTCTGCATTGGACTGTATTAAAACTTTCTATCTCGTTTTTGTCAAACTTCAAACATCTATTTTATTTTAAAAACAATGAATATACATTAGTTTGGTTATAAGGAACAGATAAAAAATAAGTGCAAATTTATCTAGCATCTAAAGATGTCAATATGGTCATCTGATTAATTAAGTATATATGAATATTTTTTTTTAAAGTGCAAAATATTTATTATTGTGGATCTTTTTTGATCTTGAGAAAAATTTTGGAAAATATGTTATAAGCATTTAAATCCAAATGAATTTTTTTTTCAGGAAGGGAGATGAGATCCAAAAACTTAGTGTTATACAAAATCTACCAAGTCTTCTAGCTACCGACACACAATCATGTATGTCTCGAGTGGTACCTAAGATGCAGCAGTTGCTGGCTACTGCATCAACCGAGTTTCACATAGCAGCATCATCTACATTTAAAACGATTTTAGAGCAGAAGCTTGTCAGCCATAATGTTTTTAGTCAGACATTCCTTCAAAGCATATTAAATTCTCTGGAGAGCCGTGATCCAGGTGAACATATTTAATTATTGAATTATTATATAGTGAAAAATAAAATATTTTTTATTATCCATTGTCAGTCCTCTAACTTCCATTGTATAAATCCATTAAAGTTATCTGTCATGCATGGTTGGAGACCTTACTGGATGTGATAGAATTACTGCCGGTAGAAGTCATAAAAGCACAGGTTTGTTAAAGGCAATTTAAAAAATTAATATATTTATATTTGGTTAAATAGATGGAAAAGAAGACATAAGTTTTTAGTTTATTTAATATATGTAGAACTATAATTAAATTTATTAAAAAGCATATAAGTAAAACACAATTATGCGTGTTTATAAATAGAAACTTTAAAGAGAAAGAATTATGTGTGTGAAATTCATGTTTGAGATATTAAATTGCTGTACATGTAACATGTAGTGCTCTTTTGAATGGATGATAACGAGAACACTCTTACATACAGATTCTTCCATTGACTATAAGTAAAGGACAATTGTCACAATCTATCTACTCCAGGATAATATGCAGTAGATTATTGGGAAAGATTTGCACGCGATTTGATTCTGCTATGTGAGTATTTG